ACTGAGAGAACCCACTGTCTTTAACTTGGTTTGACTCTTCCCATCCAGGTTTTAAAACTACCTATATCTATTGACCTATTTATCTAAATCCACATGTATCCCACTATTTTGTGTGTTCTCAAAACTTTTTTTTTTTTTTTTGAGACAGAGTCTAACTTTGTTGCACAGCTAGAGTGGAGTGCCGGTCATCCTAGCTCACAGCAACCTCAATCTCCTGTGGCTCAAGCAATCCTACTGCTTCAGTCTCCAGAGTAGCTGGGACTACAGGCATGTGCCACCATGCCTGGCTAATTTATATATATATATATATGTATATATATTTTAGTTGGCCAATTAATTTCTTTCCATTTTTAGTAGAGACGGTCTCACTCAGGCTGCTTTCGAACTCCTGACCTTCCAGGCACGATGGCTCATGCCTGTAATCCTAGCACTCTGGGAGGCCGAGGCGTGCAGATCACTCAAGGTCAGGAGTTCGAAACCAGCCTAAACAAGAATAAGATCCTGTCTCTACTATAAATAGAAAGAAAATTAATTGGCCAACTAAAAATATATAGAAAAAATTAGCCAGGCATGGTCGCACATGCCTGTAGTCCCAGCTACTGGGGAGGCTGAGGCAGAAGGATTGCTTGAGCCCAGGAGTTTAAGGTTGCTGTCAGCTAGGCTGACGCCATGCCACGGCACTCTAGCCCTGGCAACAAAGTAAGACTCTGTCTCAAAAAATCAAACAAGCAAACAAAAACGTTTATATAAATATTATAAGTTCTATAGGTATCATCTTGCAACTTTTTTTTCAAAGTTATGTTTTAAAGATTTATCTATGTTGAAGCATGTACCTAAGTTTGTTAATTTCACCTACTGTATAGGGTGTCTCCGTCTCTCTATGCATATACATACATATATTACATATCTAATCCCCACTGATAGAAATTAACATCATTTTCTGTTTGTAACCATTTTGAAACATACTTTAATGACCAGTTTTGTGCATTTGTTCTTACAGAAATGTGCCAGAATTTTTCTAGAGCAAATTCCTGGAAGTATAATTGCTGGGTCATAGGGCATGTGCAGATCTACAATTTTAGAAGACACTTTCAATTATCTCTCTCCCTATAAATTTCCCATGTTGGTAGATACATGCAAGTTCAGTACTGTTTATAACTGGTAAATCACTCATCTTATTCTATAATCACCACTTCTCTTTCTAGTGATGCTTTTATTTTGTTAAAATCTATTTTGTGTGATAATAATGTAACTACATCAGATTTCTTTCAGTTAGTCTAAGAGTAAGTTAGTTTCAGTTAGTTTATTTAGGTAGGTGGTTCTCATCCTTTTGAAGATGATATCACTTGTAAATAGCAAATAGTTTTTTCTCCTTTTTAAAAATCTATCTGAGAATCTCTGCCTTTCAACTGATGAATTTAGTCCTTTTACATTTATTATTATTGTTGATGTGTATTGGATTATTTCTACCTTTTTATTTTAGTTTTTCTTTTTCTTTTCTTTCTTTTTTTTTTTTTTTTTTGAGGGAGGGGTCTTCTGGTAAGGGCCAGAAAACCTGCTAGACAAATTCTAAAAAAATTTTTTTTAGAATTTTTACTCAGTTCCTGCCTTCTATTGAGTTGACTAAGTTTTCTGTGTTTCTCCTTTTCTCCTCTACTCATTTTAAAGTTATATACTCTTATTTTCCTTCTTATATTGGTTACTCAATAAAGGGTGTGACTATCTTAACAAAGTTTAATCAATGGCTTTATCTTCCTCCTAGACAATAAAAAGACCTTAAAATGCTTTAACTACAATCACCTTTCTCACTTCCAAATATTTGTTGTTTAGTATTACAGCTCCACCTAGTTTGTAAACTGCCCTCTTCAATAAAAAAAATGATTATTATTTTTCCCAATTCATAGACAAGAAAACTGAGATTCAGAGAGGTTAAGTGACTTGTCTAAGGTCACACATCTAGCAAGTGGCAAAATCCATCTAGAACCAACCTTCATTTGGAAATGAAACATCTGGAGACTTGAATTCATTGAGAGATGTTGATCATTTCACCATATGGGTAATTTTTCTATGATCAGATTTATGTCATAAAGAGAGCAATTGGGTGTCCCCAAATATCTCTCAGTGGTAAACTAGATTAGGAGTTTTGCCCTTAGTTTTGACCATACATTGAAAATTGCCTCCTTGTACACCTTATGCTTATGTGTAAGCATGCTTACACAAGCTCATTATTACTATGAAGGTGTACAGGTGATGTGCTGAGAGTGGATTAACGATGTACCATGAAGGAGACCACTCCCACCATCCCTATGTAAGATGGTAGTTACACAAAGAGAGCCATCCTTGAGAGTCTTTTGAAATTTCAGTTTATATGTTTACCCATCTATCCTTCGAGATGGGACGGTTTTATAGCTAAGGTAGGAATTATAATGGCATGAATTTCTAGCATACTGCTTCAGCCTTCCAGTCATGTTTCTTACTAATAAAGCTGAGATCCCAAGCAAAACAGTTTGTGGATAGCTCACTACCAACTATTGTTATTCTAAGAAAACTAACAAAGCCCTTGGAAGGTGAAGAGTATCATAGTGTCATCTCTTCATGAAAGATAGCCCAATTTTCAGTTGGGGAACAAAGAGTGTATTCGAGGATGAAATGCTGGCAAAATAGCTTGCCTAAGTAAATGTTCCTACAGCAATGATTATTGCCTCATCACTCAAAGGTGAAAGAATAGAGGGCAAATGCCAAAGATTGCATCCACCAAGTAACAAATGAGAGAAAAAAGAAGAATATAGCCGGGCGTGGTGGCTCACGCCTGTAATCCTAGCACTTTGTTAGGCTGAGGCGCGCTGCTCAAGGTCAGGAGTTCGAAACCAGCCTGAGGACCCGTCTCTACCAAAATAGAAATAAATAATTGACCAACTAAAAATATATAACAAAAATTAGCCGGGCATGGGGCATGCCTGTCCCAGCTACTCGGGAGGCTGAGGCAGTAGGATCGCTGAGCCCCGGAGATTGAGGTTGCTGTGAGCCAGGCTGACACCACGGCACTCACTCTAGCCTGGGCAACAAAGTGAGACTCTGTCTCAAAAAAAAAAAAAAAAAGAAGAATATAGTTCAAAAGCTAGCATGGACCCACGTGGTCTTCTGTAGACTCTGAATCTGTATTGATTTGGGATTAAACAATCATATTGAGCACTCAGCCCCCTACCCATTTAAAAAATTAATCATGATAAGATTTGATACAGGCCAGGTACGGTGGCTCACGCCTGCAATCCTAGTACTCTGGGAGGCCAAGGTGGGAGAGTCACTTGAGCTCAAGAGTTCAAGACCAGCCTTAGCAAGAGTGAGACCCTCGTCTTGACTAAAAATAGAAAAAATTAGCCAGATGTGGTGGTACATACCTGTAGTCCCAGCTACTCTGGAGGCTGAGGCAGGAGGATTGCTTGAGCCCAGGAATTTGAGGTTGCTGTGAGCTAGGCTGACACCACAACACTCTAGCCTGGACAACATAGAGAGACTCTGTCTCAAAAAAAAAAAACAAAACAAAACAATACATTCTTAGGAAAAAAAAAAGGTTTGATGCAGTTTAGATGGATTCAGGAAGAAACATTTAAGTAGCACATCCCTGCCTGGCACTGGAAAGAAAGGAGAGAAGCAGACCCAAAGATACACTTGGTGTTAAGAGTCTCCCTGTGCTAAGCACTTTACATGCATTATCTTACATTTTCTCATTAGTCCTTTGAGGAAGGTTTTTTTTTATTTTTTTTTTATTTCGGCATATTATGTGACAGATTTTAAGGTTCATAAATGCCCATTCCCCCAAAAGTCTGAGTCTCCACATGACCATCCCCCAGATGGTGCACATCTCACTCATTGTGTATTGTATACCCGCCCCCCTCCCCTGAGGAAGGTTTTAATAGCCTTTATTTACAGGATATATTGAAGCTCAGAGACTTGGGGTAACTTATCTAAATTCACATAGCTAATAAGCGAAGAGCTGGAATTTGAACTAAGGGTGGCTTGGCTATCACTCCATATTGCTTTTAAATAAGATGATATCTGTGCACCAGCAGTTTAAAAGGTTAAAAGTGTGAATACAAGGTATTCATACTGGATCCATTCCCTTCCCCCATCCCTGAGCCAGTGAAGAGGAATTCAGCACAGATGTTTTTCCCTACTTCACTGTGCAGTCCCACAAGACCCCATCTTCCCCTCCACCATATAGTTAGCCCCACTTAAAAATAGGACACCAGCCCCTCTCACCAGGTCTCAGTCTTGAACCTCTTGTCCTGACCTGTTTCAAAGGCTACAGAATGACCCGAACTTCAACTTCTCCCTCCCCACCCCACCCTGCACCTCCACTCTCAGGTTTCTATCTTCACTGCTTTTCTCCAGTTTCGTAGCTCCCTGTTCTCCCCCCGGATGGCCTGCATGCCAGGCTCACCTTAGGACATGATACTCATCTCCTCCCTTAGGCCATTCTGGCTCCGCTCCACTCTCTCCCGGGACAACTGGGCCCCCCACCACCTCCCGCCCCAGTGCAATACAGTCTCCTCCCTTCCTCCCTCCCGTTCTGACATTGATGAGTGGGAAATGCACGTGCCAGGTGCCAATGCATGTGTTTGCACTGGGCGTGCAAATACGAACAAGTAGATCGCGGTGCAGTGAAGGAGGCAGAACAAGTCAACAGAGATCTGAAACAATGAACAATGAGACACGTGCTCTCCTACAGGTGTGCGCAAGATGTCAATGTCATGGTAACAGTGAGATCGTCTCCTCTGAGGCTGAAGGGGGGATTGGAAGAGGCTTCACAGACGAGGTGAAGACTTACCTGGATCTAGAAGAGTGAGTAGGAGTTTCCATAATTTCCCACTCGTTGGTTGCTATGGTTATAGCTATAGTAGGCAACTGAAACTTAAGGAGCAGGGCCAGAAGGATAGGTGAGAAAGTGAAAGGGAGGCTCCTTTAGGGCTTTCCTGTCCTCCATACAATCCTTTAAGGGTGAGAAAAAAATTACATTCCTGCCTAGAGTTTCATTCATCTGCAAGCAGGGAGAAATTCCTTCTCTTCTTTCCATTTTTGTGAAAACAAAATGGCAAGGGGGAGAAGAGGTTATTATGTGAATAATTACCTTTCCCATAATAAGAACTACCATTTTTAGAAGGTAGTGACTGTGTTAGAGGCCGTGCTGTTTGCTGGGAGTGGGGTTGACAATGGTCTCAGCCTGTCCCTGGACTGCATTGTTGGAGACTCCACCTGCTGGTAGGAGCTGGAAGTTCAGAAGTCAATCACCCTGTCTGCAGGGCTCTGTCCTCCCTTCCTTTGGTTGTCCTAGAACCCACGAGGGTGCCTCAAGGTGGGGAAGCTAGACTGGTTCCGACCTGTTTCAGTGGGTTGACTGTAGCGAAGGGCACTGAGCGTGGCATAAGCTGGCCATGGTGGGCAGTGGCCAAACCCAGAAGTTAGGCACTGGTTCTCTGCTCTTATAGTGACCACAGTTGCTAGAGTGGAAACTGCCACAGATGGAGGTAGGGGGTACGCCTTGAGGATGGGCTGCACTTCCCCTAGGGTTACACTCACTGAGGAGGCTCACAGCCCAATGTCCAAAGTTCTCATTTTATTTCTTCATGGAGCCACGTCTTCAGGAAGCCAGGCTGCTATGGGAAGGTGGGATGCGCCCCAGCTTCTCAATGACTTCACAAGACGACAGCAGCAGGGATCCTTAATAAATCCATTGATTTTACTATAAAATAATATTCCCCCCAGAAAACCTTGAAGGAAAATCAATACTCCTAGATGATGCACCATGTTTACCTGCAGTGTCAGTAGCCTACGGCGCTCTGCCCATTCCAGGAAGTCCACACATCCTGGTGTGGAAAGCTTGGGACCAGCCCATCCTGGGTACAGACTGCAGAATCCTTGAGTAGATAGATGCTTAGGACAGAATCACCCACACACGAGTTTCATGCCCCTTTCTTACAAGAAGCTGAGCATTCATGCAGTATCATCCTGGACCAGTTATTTAAGCTGTCTGGACTTCAGTCTACTCATCTATAAAATGGGGAGAGGCCAGGCATGGTGGCACATGCCTGTAATCCTAGCACTTTGGGAGGCTGAAGCAGGAGGATAGCTTGAGCCCAGGAGTTTGAGGTTGCAGTGAGCTATGACCACACCACTGCACTCTTGCCAGGGTAATAGAGTGAGACCCTATCTCAATAAAATAAAATACAATAAAATGGGGAGAAGAATGACATCTACCATGGAGGTATGTTGTGAAGTTTAAATGGATAATACATAAAGTAAAATGCATAGAACATTTCCCGGTGTATCTTAAGTGTTCAATAAAACTTATTATTATATCCTGTACCTTAGGTTTTGGTTGCATTTTGAAAAGGATAGATGAGAGGGTGTTGCAAGGAGAATATGCTCAGATCCAAGACAAAGCCCCACAGAGTGGCACTTACTCTAATGAGTTCATCTTGACCTGTGGTCTGATCTTCATTCTGCAAATTCAGAAACCTGATTTTGTCAGCATTCGGAGAGTACAGCTCTTATTGGGGGCATACTTACAATACCGGACACTGGTGGGGTGTGTGTGTGTGTGTGTGTGTGGAGGGGGGAGAAGGAAGGAGGGGAAAAGGGAGAGGGAGAATTAGAGAGACAGAGCAAGTAAAATTTAAGGTAAAGTGAGGATGATCTTTATATTTTTCAGTGACAGAAACTATTTCTACAAAGAGCTTGACCCTCACTGGGAGGAGCAACAGCACCAGCAGTGACAAGATGGTCTCAAGCGACTGTCCAGGTTGCAGCTCTGACACCAAGTCACCTTTGGGGGTTGCATCTTCAGAAACAACCAGAGCTGGGTAGCACCGTGGATATTCATTAAGCCTCAAGGGGGCGCTCTGAGCTTCAGTTCTAGGGATTAGGCAAGAGCCTCCCGCCAGGGCTTGTCCTTTGGATAAAAGCAAAGGTAGGGGATTTTTGGAGAGAAGGTGGGTGGTTGGGTAAGTAGGCTGTGCTTAAAGAAACTGGATTTTTTTGCTAGTTTGGGCATATGGAAGCTTAAGAGGGGTATTTGGAGACCTTGTTGGGAAAATGGTTTTATTTCTAAGTTCTACAATTGAATATGGTAATTTAAATACATACATATATATATTTCTGATTATAAATTTCAAATATTAGAGGAAATACGGCTTTGAGGGCAAAAGTTCCCTCTGTTATCCCCCACCATGCCCTTCCTCCCTAAAGAAGAAAAAACTTAAGAGTTCAGTGTGTTTGGTGTGAATAAATTAACTAGCTAGCTAGCTAAATAACTAACTATATGTATCGAGAACACACGCATATATGTTTTTACTTAAATATGAATGCCAACATTTAAAGTCACAAAGACGATCTGAGCTGTGAAGCAAACTGGATAGCTTGTGTTTTGAGGCCCGGGATAGGTTCTTCCCATGAGCAAGTAACATAAAAAGGCAAATTTTCAGAAATGCAGAAACAAAACAACGTTTTGAGTGTGGAAACAAAACAAAGGGAAAGAATTAATCTTCTGAAATGTCTCTTACCTAAGAGAGCTCCTTCTTACCCTGAATGAACACATCAGGGAATTAGTATCTCATGAGACACATTTTGGAAAACATTGACCTTCTCTGTCATTTTGAGGTTTCCTTAAAGCAGAAATTATAGCTAGGTTATATAGTTCCTTTTTAAATTCTTTACATTCGTGTAAAAAGTAATCATTTTCTTTTAACTTACCTATGGGTTCATGGAAATGATGTTTAATGGCCTATTTAAGGTGATTACAGGCATCATATTAATTTTTTACTCACGTTTCTAAAGAGAGAAGTAAAGAGGAAATTCCCAGTAGGAGTTATTCAAAATAAATTGACAGGGCAAAAACCTATTAATATTAATAAATCTAAAAGTAAACCCTAGCCAGGCATGGGGACATGTGCCTGTAAGAGGCTGAGGCAGGAGGATCACTTGAGCCCAGAAGTTCAAGGCTGTAGTGCACTATTATCATGTCTGTGAATCTGTGAATAGCCACTGCCCTCCAGCTGGGCAACACAGCAAAATCCTGTCTCAAAAAAAAAAAAAAAAAAAAGAACCACACACACATACACAAACACAACAGGTAAACTACTCCATTAGAAATGTGAGTTATGATTACTCTTAGGCACATAATGCATGAACAGATGGCAAAAGGCACCTGTGGTACCAAAGTGTTCTTCATCTCATCCACCAGAGGGTACTTGAGAGTTATTCAACAAAAGCATTCAGGAAACTAAAAATCTGAACTAGAAATCACAGACCTAAAGTGATACACACACACACTTCTGGTACATTATTAACCAAATTCAGTTTGCTAAGAGATAGCCACATGCTTTTTCCCCACCAAATTATAGAATTCTGGTATGATACTCTTTCTTTTGCATACTGATACTCACTTTCGAAAAATTTTTTGAACCTAGCCTAGGTAGTGGGGCACTGTATATTTTACAAATATATTTAATGTTGAGTATTTTTCTAGCAAAAATTGTGGTATTGTCATTTACTAGAAAAGGCTAGTAATTTTATTATCATAATCCCAGAATGTTGTCTCTATTTTGTGTAATTGGTATATTACTTAATTGAATTCACCCTGAATCGTTTCATGAAAGATACAGGGTGTTATTTTTCTTTCATTAGGTTCATCTTCTATTTCTCACTCCCATTCCATGTTCCAGTAAATTACTGGACTGTGCCTTAAAACTAAAAATTGGAAAGAGTCCAAAATGGCCAATAGGAAAGGCAACAGTGGTGTTATGGCGATGGATATTTATATTAAGCTATTGATTAGAGTATGTATAAGTTATAATACTAATGCCATAATATTCAGAATACATTTTTTAAAATGTGTCAACCATCCACTAAACATCAGTCCCAGGGCTGGCTGTGTGGATGATGAACAATAAAAAATTCCTAGCTTTTAGGAATTTATAGAACAACAACAACAAAAATTCCCAGCTCTTTAGGAGTATTTAATTTGGTGTGAGTGGGGAGTGTAAAGACACCCATGATCAAATACTTCGGAGGTAAAGATTGTGAGCATACGCTTTAGAGTCAGAAATTCAGGTTCTCCCACTCATTTGTTATATAATCCTGAGCAAATTATTCCACCTGTCTCTGAGCCTTGGTTGTTCTCATCTGTTAAATAGGGATAATCACCCAGCTGACTTTTATTGTGGAAATTAAGGGAGTTGGTGAACACTGGTCACCTTGTACTGAGTGTGGCGTTCAGTACATGACAGTAGCAGTAGAGGTTTTTATTACTGTTGCTTTCTTTGTGTAGCAGGAGACAGGGCTTCAGACCATTGTGTAATACCACACGTGACAGGCTGGCCACCACCAGGAGGAGATGGAAGCACTCTTCCAGGGCCAGACAATTTCCCTGGTCAGACAGGCTTAAGCTGCATCTTGACAATGCAATTTTATGGACAGCCCAGTGGTTCCGGCTGCCTGGAATGTGGAAAATGACTGGGAAGGAATCTCACCTCCCTTGGAGGGGTCTGAGCTTCTGTTTTTGCTTTAGCTGCTTAAAGGTACAGCGGTCAAAGTGGGCCTGTTCCGGCAGGGCCTTCTTGTAGTGTAGGGGCCAGCGTGGGCTGTGGCTCCCCCCTGGGCTAGCTGGCCTAGACGGTGCTCTCTTCGCAGAGAAGCAGGCCTGGGGCCCAGGATGGCAGAGGCAGCGTCTGGCACGCGATGCTTTGAGTGCTGCTGAAATCCAGGGAAACTGCTGAGCCAGGAGTCAAATGGGGAGCTGAGGCCAGAAACCAGATAATGAAATCCAAACAGGTTGCCAAGCCACGGTAGGCAGATGCGGTGCTGAAATCCAAGGTGTAGGGCAGGGATTGAAACCAGGGAGATGAGTGCGAAGGACAGCGTGTGCCTACTGTTTACCAGCTACTGCTCCTGATACTGCGAGTTTATAGTCCAGTGAGGTTAGATGAGCAAACAAGCTAATCCCATATGCTGGTAAGTGCTACAAAGAAAGGCAGCGTAGGATAATGTTAGAGAACTCCTGCGGAGGCTGTTTTAGCGAAGGTGGTGTTCTAGGCAGGGGAGCAGGAAGGGCACAGGCTCTTAGCCAGGAATGGCAGAAGGCAGCCACTGTAGCTGGAGTGTCGTGAATGAAGCGAGAGGTAAAAGGAAGTGAGTGCAGAGAGGTAGGCAGGAACCATAGCACACAGGATATTGTAACCCAGAGTTTGGGTTTAGCAATACAGTGAGAAGCTATCGGAGGTTTTAAATAGGGAAGGCGGCGGGGTGGGTGTGGGGCTGGCATGATCCAGATTAGACTTTAGAAAGATCACTCTGGCTGCTGTGTGGGAAATGGCTCATATTAGTTAAAGCCAGAGTTGTGGCCATGAGACAAGTCAGGAGGTGGTTGAAGTAGGTCAGGCAAGGAGTGGCGGTTGTTAGGGATGAGAGTGGTGGTCACAGAAAGAAGTTGGATTTTTTACTTCTTATGGAGAGATCGATCTGTCAGGATTTACTGGGTGCATTGGAATTGGGACTTAAGGGGAAGAAAGATCTTGGGTTTGGGGCCTGAGCCAATGTGTGGGTGGTGATGTCATTTACTCAGGTGGCTAAGGACTGGAGGGGAGTGGATTTGGAGGAAGACGATGGGTCTATTTTGGTGCTGTTGACTTTGAGGTGCCTGTTAGGCATCCTTCTAAGTGGAGATGTCGAGGGGCAGCAGGATCTCTACCTGGGCTAAAGAGGTACACTTGAGAAGCATTGGTGTTCACGTGGCATAAGCGAATGGTATTTAAGCACGGGTGGGGCCAGGTGACATTCACTGGGGAGAGTGGAGCCAGAGAGGAGCTCTGAGCTTGGAGACTGGGGCCCTCCATATTGAGAGGTCTGGTGTCAAGTCCTCAAGAAGAAGCCAGCAGGCAGACAAAGGGCTTTCAAGTGAGGGAGGAAAAGACCAAGCAAGTGGGAGGTCATGGGAACCTCAGGAGGAATACATTTCAGGAAGAAAGAAAAGATCAAGTGGGCCAGGAGCTGCTAGTAAGTCAAGTAAGATGCGGACAGAGCCGTGGCCATTGGCACCTTGATTAGAGCTGCTTTACTGGAACGGGGGAAGGTGGGGCACAAAAGCCTTATCCAAGTGGGCCGAGGAAAGGAAAAAGATGGGTGGTGAGAGGCAGGCAACTCTTCTAGACCTTGTCTGTGCAAAGGAGCAGACTAGGGAACAGGTAGATGGTCCAGAGGATTTTTACAAGATGTCATGCACAGATAGCAATGATATAGAGGAGAAGGAGGAGTCGACAGAGCAGGAGGGAAAAGGACAATCTGCGGAAATGAAACCCTTGAGAGATGGAAGGCAGGTGGGCTCCGGAGCACAGGGCCTGGTCGCTTTCCCGTCAGAGCAGGAGGGAAGGCAGAGTGTAGGCTGCAGAGACAGCTGCTTCTCTCCCCATGGCGTCATCTCGGGGTCACTGGCTAGGCCATCCCCAGCCCTGGTCACAGAGGGCAACGACCGGTGATATTTATTCATATGGGAAATGCCTTGGGTCAAGGAAGAAGTAGGGACTGCTGCGTCAAATCAGACACAAATTCCCATGAGCTGGGCCAACAGAAAATCTATGTGTCAAATACGTGTCTCTCCTTTTCAACCCTGACGTTGTACTTGTACTTGAACCTGGCTGGTGAGTGAGCGTCACTTCTTGACTTCTTTGCCAGGAAAGCCTTGGTCCTGGGGGTTTGTTTCATCAGATTTTCAAATAGGTACAGATCGATCTAAAATTTTGAGGGAACACAGCTTGGGGCTGCTAAGATGGGGCTTCTGCTATGCACCCTGTTCTGTTTTAGTACAAATTAGGAGAAACAGCTGAGAGTTTTTTTTTTTTTTTTTTAAAGTAGTGGTGGGGGAGAAGTAGGATGATTTAAATAGCATTTCAATTAGATGAATCGGGCTGGTTATTTAAAGATACAACTTAAGCGTTAAAAAAAAAATAGTTATAATAGTTACAATTTATTGAGTGCCTGCCACTGGCTAGAGCTGTGGTCCCCAACCCCCGGGTCACAGACTGGTATCAGTCTGTATGTAGCCTGTTAGGAACCAGGCTGCACGGCAGGAGGTGAGCGGCCAGGGAGCGAGCAAAGCTTCATCTGTGTTTCCAGCTGCCCCCCATCGCTTGCCATCCCCCCAGCCCTGCCCGTGGAAAAATTCTCTTCTGTGAAACTGGTCCCTGGTGCCAAAAAGGTTGGGGACCACTGGGCTAGAGGTTTTTTTTTTTTTGAAAGAAAGTTTTTTTTTTTTTAGCGTATTATAGGGGTACAAGTGTTAAGGTTACATATATTGCCCATGCCCCACTCCCCCCTCAAGTTTTATAAATGAAACAGAACAACCATTATTGACATAGGAGTCTTTTTCCTCCTGCTATGCATTGAAAACAGGATTTTGGTTCTGGGACTGATCCACCTGGGTCTTTGGATGCAACATGGTTACAAAAGCATTTCTTTATTTACTTCTCTGCAAGCTAGGCATTAGTGTCACCACGTTTTGTAGAAGGGGTAAAAGTTTAGAGAGGTTGTATACCTTGTCCAATTGAGTAATAAAGCCAGAATTTGAATCTAAGACTGTCCCACTCCAAAATTGACAGTAAAGCCACTCTGCATGAATCATCCTGGTGTGATGCAGTGATAAAAGGTGTGGACCATGGTGGCAGGGGGACTTGGGTTTGAGTTCTGCTCCACCACTTACTAGCTGTGTTATCTTGGGCTGATTACTTAACATCTCGGAGCCTGTGTTTCTTCATCTGTAAAATGGGGGTTATAATAGCCCCTCCCTCAAGAATTGCTCTGAGGATTATATGAGATAATATATGTCAGATGTGTAGCATAGACTTGGCCAACGGAAGAGGCCCAATAAATGTAAGTTATTATTATAATATACCACGCTGGCCTCTGAGAGGGGTACTTTGGCATCTGTCTGAGCCACTCTCATTGCTAGCACCAGAAACATATATCCTGTCTTGGAAATGTCTCACATAATAGATTGTGTGCTTAACTCACTCTGTACTGTGCTTCCAACACGAGGCATCAAAGAAATGCTTTGGATGATGATATTACCCAACTGCATGAGTGAGTTTGATAGCTTTTCCAAAGGGCTGGTATTTCAGTTGTGCAACTGTAACTGCTTCATGGCAATAGAAAAGATTTATTTTTTGGACCCCAATCAACCCTCAGCCCCATTTCTCAAACTCCAGCTACATCACAAGATGTCAAAGTCATGCAGTATTAACGGTTGGTCAAAGGTGCTGGTGGCATTTTGCAGATGTAATTGAAGAAGCCATATTGTCTAAGATTGCCTTGCTGTGCCTTCTGCCCCGCACCCTGCTCACCCTTTAAGACCTGTCAGGTGGGAAAATTCAGCTGCAAGCTCACCTACAAGGCAGTGGAAGGACAAAAATGATTGTTCAACTTTGCAAGAGTCTGGGACGTTGGGCTGGGGTAAAAGGTGCCACACAGTAAAGGAAAGGGTCTCGTAACTACCTCCCCTTACACCCAAGGAGGGCAACGAAAAAGATCTCCCAGAATTAAAAAAAAAAAAAAAACATGATAAAATAGTTTTCGAATGTGACTGATTGCCTGGCTCCTAAAGAGGAAACAAGAGGAGGGGTTGGGGTGGAGAAAAAGAAAGGATTGGCCATTAGAAGGCTGCTGCTAAGAGAAAATTTTTATGAAAGAATAGGCTTTGTGTTGAATGCTCTTGCCCATCTGTTAGCTAACATAATCATTCTGGGCTCATTTAAGGCAGGCCAGGTTAAGCTATGACGTTGGTAGGTTAGGTGTGTAAAGTGCATTTGTGACTTACAATAGTTTCAGCTAATGATGGGTTTATCGAGATGCAATCCTATTGTAAGTCCAGGAGCACCTGCATTCTATAATAACAGTGACACCAAGATAGTATACTGTCCTAGAAAACATGCTTTGTGGTTTTATTTTAAAATTTACACAGACTGTATATTCACTGCAGAAAACTTGAAAAACCAAGAGAGAACACAGAAAAACAACGACCATTCCAACAAAAAGATCACTCTCCTTTTGGTTTGTGTCTTTTAGGTGTTTTTTTTTTCTCCCAAGTGTATGTACATCTTTGTTCTGTCTTTTCAAAATGGGATACTGTTTCAGAGTCTGCTTTTTTCTCTTTATTTTATTTATGTATTTACTTATTTATTTAGAGACAGAGCCTCACTCTCTTGCCTGGGCTAGATAGAGTGCCGTGGCGTCAGCCTAGCTGACAGCAACCTCAAATTCCTGGGCTTAAGCAATCCTCCTGCCTCAGCCTCCCGAGTAGCTGGGACTACAGGTGCACGCCACCACAACCGGCTAATTTTTTTTTATTTTTAGTTGCTTCGCTAATTTTTTCTATTTTTAGTAGAGACGGGGGTCTTACTCTTTCTTGCTCAGGCTGGTTTTGAACTCCTGACCTCAAGAGATCCTTCCACCTTGGTCTCCCAGAGTGCTAGGATTACAGGCATTCTCTTTTTTTAAAAACTTAGCAATAGACTGTGAGCCTTTCCCCATGGATGAGTGGCTTCTTAAAATAGATATTCCATTGGAAATGGCAGTATGCGTATGCTGGGCCGGCAGATTCATTACTGTTTTTTTTTTTTTTTTTCCAAGAGGAGGTGATACCTATGGCTATTCAAATCTGGGAAACACTACACACTGCATCTCCTTCTTGGAAAATTAACAGGGCACATTAGCATGTAACAAGCTCTGAGAAGCCCTTCTGTAAAGAATCCCCTCGACTTCGATTAGATCTGTGTTTCCCAGACTGATTTAACACTCTGGACCATTTCTTCTCATAACTCCCATTAATGTCTCAGGACTCATTTTGGGAAACACTGCTGCAGGCTGAAGTTTTCTTAAGAGCAGGGAGCAGGTCTTGTTCATTTTGTTGTTTCCATACTGCCTTACAATTGGATTTTTAAGAAATTATGAAAAATGGGATTGGATTGATGAATCCACTTTCTAGCCAACAGCCACACACGTGTGACTCGAGGGCCAAGGTTAGAGGCTGGGGCTGTGCTCCGGAGTGTCTCTCTGTGTAAAGCTAATTGGCCCCTTTGGGGATGAACCTGTGAACTTGGCCTCATTAGCGCCAGCACAAAACAGCTGAGTTGGTTTATCTGGTGCCATGAAATTGTTTTCTCACCCAGATTCTCATGCTGTCCTCCAGGTGGCGATGCTGGTTTGTCAACCTTCTGAGAGCCTGAAGCTTGGGCCAAGAGAAGCTTGAAATTGAGGGGAAGCAGATTCGGATGAGGAATGGAGTGGGGAGTGGAGTGTGATCGAAAACTACGAGACACCTGTCAGGTTTGCAGTTGACATGAAGCTCAGGGGCAACCTCATACATGGGGTGTCCAGACACAAGTTTTAAAGGATCTTGATGAACCAGTAAGCCAAGAATAAATATTGCTAGCATTTATTGAGCATCAGTTATGGGGCTGGCAACATGCCAGATCATTTCAGTCATTGTTTCTTTTAATCCCCTGAACAGACCTGTGAGGTAGATCCTGTCGCTAGAAATAGCAGAACTGGAAATCCAACCTGGGTTCCTAGGCCTGTGTTGTATATATACGTGTATATACATGCTTTGCTGGACCGAAATAAGATGTTTACCAGCGATGAATACATGTCAAATATCTATCCATCTGTCATATATTTATCTAGCTAGCTAGCTATCTAAGTAGTTTCTATTTCACTAGAATAGGATGGGCCTGATAGCATTTCAAGAAATTAATACCAGGATTTCTTTCTTTCTTTCTTTTTATTTTTGTAGTTAGCCACCTGTGAAATAAATCAATTTCACTCCTGGGCTGCATTCTTAGAATTATAACCTTCAGAGCAGGGTGGTAGAGGTATTCGTTGTAGAGTTCTTCTCTTCTCTTTTGTTCTGGTGGTCATTATGCAAGATGAAGGTGGCCAGAGGGAATGGTTCCAGAGTGGCCAGCTTAAACTTCACTTGCAGGACTGAGTGGTTCTACTCAGTAGAGCCGTGTCTCTAGTACAGCACTAGTCACCCAAGACATGTTGAAATTGTTTCTTTAAATGCCTCCTTTTCCCAGGGCACCGTGCATTTCTGGAGGGAAGGAACTATGCCTCTCCTTGCTGTATTCATAAGGCCCTAGCAAAGTGCCTGAGACAGAGTAAGTCGTTAGCAACATGTAAAAGAATGGGCGAGTGAGTGAATGAAAAGTTGTCTCCTGCAGAAATGTCACCAAGCATGAACCAATTAAAGAACTGAGGGAGCTTAGTCTAGAATAGGAGAAAGAAGACCTGAGGGAGACATAAGAACTATCTTCAAATATGTGAAAGGCTGTCATCTGCATGCGATTGTACAGCAAGGTTGAGCCTCTTTAAGTGGAAGGCTTAGGCAGGGCAGTCTCTTGAACAAAAAAGAATCTAAGGCCTGGCACGGTGGCTCATGCTTGTAATCCTAGCACTCTGGGAGGCCGAGGCGGGAGGATCGCTCAAGGTCAGGAGTTTGAGACCAGCCTGAGCAAGAGCGAGACCCTGTCTCTACTAAAAATGGAAAGAAATTAATTGGCCAACTAAAAATAAATGGAAAAAATTAGCCTGGTATGGTGGCGCATGCCTGTAGTCCCAGCTACTCGGGAGGCTGAGACAGAAGGATTGCCTGAGCCCAGGAGTTTGAGGTTGCTGTGAGCTAGGCACTCTAGCCTGGGCAACAGAGCGAGACTCTGTCTCCAAAAAAAGAATCTAAGAGCTGTCTAAAAACAAAAGGAAGCTGGCACGGTAGTGCATGCCTGTAGTCCCAGCTACTCCGGAGGCTGAGGCAGGAGGATCGTGTTAGCCAAGGAGATCACGGCTCTAGTGACTCCAGCCTGTGTGACAGTGCAAGCCCCCGCCTCAAAAATAAATAAATTAATAAAAACAAATTAATTAATTAAATAAAGGGAGTCACCTTTTAGGGCAATGACCTTCCGACCTCCAGAGGCAGAGCTGGGATGGCTGTCTGGTGGAAACGTGGTAGAAGGGGTTCCCTGCATCGTGGGAGGACAGGCTGAACAGGGGGGTTACTGAGCATGCAGCTGTCTTGTCACTACTTTGTGCCAGTTCCCAGAACAGCGTTGGACATACAGAAGGCCACGTAATAAATACTTGTTGAACAAATGAATAACAGTCTTCTGCTAGTTGGAGCTTCATTCAGCGAGTATTTATTACATGTTGCTATGTGTTAGTTCTGTGCTCAGCTGCAGAGGCTATTTCAGTGGAAACGATGACTCAGCCCCCGTCCTCAGGGGGAGTGTGTCACACTGGCTGGGAGCACGAGATGGTGACAAACTGTCTCAGTTTGAAACCCAGCTCTGCAAATTATTAATACTTTACTTGGTTGTGCCTCAGTTTCCTCAACTGTAAGATGTGGGTGAAATAGCACCTACCTCAAGGAGTTACTTTGACAATATTTGGCATTAACCACTCAAATGTTGATAATGAGGCTGGGCACGGTGTCTCACACCTGTCGTGCTTTGGGAGGCTGAGGCAGGAGCGTTGCTTGAGGCCAGGAATTCGAGACCAGCCTCAGGCAACATAGCAAGACACCATTCTTACAAAAAATAAGAAAAATTAGCTGGGTGTGGTGGTGTATGCCTGTAGTCTCAGCTACTCAGGAGGCTGAGGCAGGAGGATCGCTTGAGCCCAGGAGTTTCAGGCTGCAGTAAGCTGTGATGACTGCACTGCACTCCAGCCTGGGTGACAGAGTAAGACCTTGTCTCAGAAAAAAGAATGATTATCTTGGTACATACATGCTAGCAAGGCTGTAGATAAGCCCTATTATTGTTACCTGGTGGATATTCTGATGCGTATGTCTGGACTGGACTATATGTGTACCTGGACAGCCTAATAATTAGATGTCCTATCCAATCAATGTGCTTTAAATCCTTGTTCAGCTTTCATGAGAGGGGAGACTGAGCCCTTGGGAGGCAGGACTCCTGTCACCCATCAGAATTGTTGTGATCATACTGTCCTCTTCCCCTGGACTCGTCCAGGGCATAACACACGTGGGCCAGGAGGGAAGGGTGGAGACAGGAAGCCTGCCGTGTCGACACTCAGCCTCACACCCCAAATCCTGAGCAGTTCTGCTCTGACCCCAAACCTGCAGTCCCCCCTGGACCAAACAAAGACCCTACAGTAAAGCAACCCTTGGAAGGTAGTTTAATGATCATCTAGAGTTTATCAGCCATGCCCCTTGGGGGGTATCACCCCCACCCCTGAGGGACTTATCAGAGTATATTTCCAACCACATAATGTACTATCCTGAGGAGATTCTGGGAGATAGAATTTTTCTAAACTTATTATATTTCCTATGATTTTTATTCCCCCTTATAGATTTCTGCCCCAGGTGGTTGATCAGCTAGCTGGCCAGCCCCACTCTGCTGGGGGGCTGTACAGGGTGCCATGAGGACATCTCAGAGGGTACCTAGCCCTGACTTGGAGAGCTGGGGAGGACTAAAGGATGTGGGGAATTAACTATGCAAACAGGTGGCAGGAATGGGATTGCACCTGCAAAGGCCTGAGGTCAGCGAGCGCAGGGTGCATTGGGGGAGTGGAAATAGTTTAGGGTGGCCGGCCTATAGGGTAGAGGGTGTGTGCACGGGGAGGGAGAGTGAGGAAGAGGCTGGAGAGGTGCACAGGGTCCAGGGAGCGAAGGGCCTTGGAAGTTGTGTTAAGGAGCTTAAATTTGATCCTGAGCACAACAGGGTATCTCTGAAGGGTTCTAAGGAAGGTGGTGAAATACACAGGTTTGCATTTTAGGAAGAGCACCCCAGCTAAAAAGGGGATTAGGAGGGATAGGTGTGTGTGTGTGTGTGTGTGTGTGTGTGTGTGTGTATACATGTGTGTGGTGTGCACACTCCGCCACAAAGATGCTGGGGGAGGGATGGCGTGGGTGGGGACTGGATGCAGGGGGAACAGTTGTGTCACGAAGGTGTTGCAGCACCTCCTGCAAAGGATGAGGAGACACCGAACCAAGGAAGCTACAGCGTCGTGATGGAGAGAGCTGTGAACACAGTTGGGAAGAATTAACAACCTCTGGCTGTGGGCTGGAAGCTGAGGGTAATATTTTGGGGGTTCTCTGGCTCTTAGTGTGTGCAAAGCATTAGGCCAGAACCAAAGGGGCAGATATGCTGCACATGGATGCCTGGCCACCTCTCCTTTACCTTCCTTCCTTCTAGTATTGCCCCCGCAATTTCTTTCTCTCTCCCTCCTTCCTTCCTTTCTTTTTCTTTTCTTTTTTATTTTCCTCTTCTCTTCTCTTCCTTTCTTTCTTAGCAGAGTCTCACTCTATTGTCTGGGCTAGAGTAGAGAGCAGTGGTGTGATCACAGCTCACTGCAACCTCAAACTCCTGGGCTCAAGCGATCCTCCTGCCTCAGCCTCCCAAGTAGCTGGGACTACAGGCATGCGCCACCATGCCCGGCTAATTTTTAAATTTTTCTAGAGATGGTGTCTTGCTGTGTTGCTCAGGCTGTTCTCAAACTCCTGGGCTCAAGTGATCCTCCTGCCTTGGCCTCCCAAAGTGCTAGGATTACAGGTGTGAGCCACCACACCCAGCCTCTTTATTTCTTTGTAAAATCTCTCCTCATATAGTGTGCAGTAAAGAGCATGGGCATGGGCAAGGTTGTCATTAATCACAGTGCTAAGGCTTATTAGGGAATTTATTTCAGTTTCTTGGAGCCATACTTATTCAGTTATAAATGGGGAAGCCAGGTGTTGTGGCGCGCACCTGTAGTCCCAGCTACCCAGGAGGTAGAGGTGGGCAGATCACTTGAGCCCAGGAGTCCAAGGCTGTGGTACTCTTCCACTCTCTGCCTGTGAATAGCCACCGCACTCCAGCCTGGACAACATGGTGAGACTCCATCTCTAAAAAAATAAAATAAAATTTAAAAACTAACCAAACTGCACGCTTTAAATATGTGCAGTTATTACATATCAGTAAGATCTTAATAAAGCTGACTTTAAAAATATTATAAATGGGGATAGCTGTACCTACCTCAAAGGTCTAGGTAGGATTGTGATTCAGTGTAGGTTTTCCTATTTGGAAACAAACCTGACTCTCTTGCTGATGAAGTACGTGGCTGGCGCCACCCTACGTCCCTTTACCGAAACCCCTGATCCCCACTTTCCTTCCCGCCCCATGTGAGTCACTGTCGCCTGTTGCCTTGATGGCCAGTAGCTTCCTGATTGGTCACTCTGCTTCTACCCACCTTCTTCAAGGATCCTTTTCCCATTTTCTCCATAGAGCAGCAGGGTGATCGCTTTTGTTGTTTTGGTGGAGTGTTTTTTATAGCAACTTCATTGAGACATAATTCACACACTATAAAATTCACCCATTTAAAGTGGTTTTTGGTATATTCAGAGTTGTGCAATCATCACCATTATCCAACATTATAACATTGTAATCACCCCAGAAAGAAAGCCAACACCCATTAGCAGTTTCTCCCTATTCCTTCCTCCCT